GGTTTTTTTTTTTTTTTTTTTTTTTTTTTTTTTTGTCGCCTTAACCAGGTAGTTGAGCACCCATAGTGTTGTGACGAGGTCCTGTGTGTCTCTGAAGGTGGTCGTGTGTACACATCTTTTTATCAATCATTTCTCAATGTAATTCCACTCTATGTACCGGCCTCCTCTCTGTGGCTCTGCTTTAAGACGAGAGGGAGGAGGTCGCTGTAGTTTGCAAATTTTAATCTTTAGTTGCTTTCCGTTTTATCAGCAGAGGCAACTATTATTATTATTAATTAAGTAATTGATTATTATTAATTTAGTAGTTAATTGTCTTTGACTATATTATTGTCGGATTTTGTAATTGTGTTGTAAATTTTGTGACAGTTCTCGTATCTGTTGGAACATTTTGGTGTGACACATTCTGTTACTGAACTAAGGAAGGAAGAAACGCCTTTCGTCTTGATCCTAAAAGTACTAGAAGTATTTGTTTGGGACTGCATTCCAGTTGTGTGCATGAGTGTGTGCTTGTGGCCAGGGTTTAGTGTACGAAAGCCAATACTTTGAAAGTACATTGTTATTTGTGCGTCGTTTCCATGTAGTTTTCTTATCGTTATTTTGAAGGCAAGGTACACCTAACACCCCACTGGGGAGGAGGGAGAGGTTTGGGGAGGGGTGGGGGGGGGGTGATCGGGCCTAGCGCTAGCAGCCATATTTGTTTACTGGGTAAACCCAAGTCTGTTAGCTCTAGCCTGATGAGGAACGTTGCCGTTTTTGTTTCGTGATCGCGTCGTTGTCAGTGAATTATTGTCGTGTCGCTCGGCTGTCAGTCATGTCCCTTAGGTGTCATGTCATGTCACTCGGCTGACAGACATGTTTATATACGGATAGAGAGGCTCCGTCTTACTTAGGTGCGATGGGTGTTTCCTTTTTTTTTACAAACATTGCTGGGCTAGGGGAATTGATTTTAATGTGGTCTGATCGTAGAAGGTGCTTATTAATTTAGGCTTTGTCATGTGTGATATTGCATTTATTCTGTTGATTGTCAGTTCTAATAAGTAGCATGCATTATCAATCACTCCTGTATCCTTTAGCTGATTTCTTTGTCAGCGACTGTGCATTCATTGGTTGAATGTTCGGTTTTTAAAATGGGTTTTATTTTCGTGGTGTATTTTAATTGTTCAGATGCGTTTTTGTTTTGTTTTTTCAGGAAGTAATTTGTCCCGTGTTCTTCATTTATGCAAAGTTTATAAATCTGGCAATATATACTTTACCTTCTGGTGTGTTCCATTGTAACATTTGTAGAATTGTGCGTGGCGAGAGGGCACTGCTGCTGCTGTTGGTTGTCGCGTCCCGTCTCGCCGCTATCTACCCCTGATCTCCCATCATGGTCTCATGATCCACCCTTCCTACTAACAAGTCCTCGTTTTGTAGACTTTTACGCTTACAGTTTCAGGCTTTTGGGCAAATTTATATATATATATATATACGTATTAGAATGTTCCTTCCAAATTAAATGTTTACACTTTTGCAGGAGGCTGATGAAACTTTGACAGTGATGTAATGCATTCAAATTTATATTGTGTGGAGTGATACAGTAGTTGGCAAGTGAATATTACTTCTTTTTTTTTTTTTTTTTTGAAAATTGAAAATGTAAGTCAGCATTCCGTTCTTTTAGCAAGATGAACTTGTGCCTTATGTAGAAAAAGAAAAAAAGAAGGTTTATGAAGTCAGAGAAGCAATAGCTACCACCTATTGTGTCCCCGCCAAGGATATAAATATAATGTATCTCTACTTATGATTCATCAGAATCCAAAGGTCTTTATTAAAGATCAGATCAACTTTATCGAACCACGAGGGGAAATTTTGTAATTGTGGGAAATATCGAAAGCTAAGTTTGACTTGGCAGTTTTGTTGTATTGTCACCTACACACAAAAATCTGAGTTGCCATGCCCGTCTCTTATCTACAAAACTGGACACACACATTCATTCTGACTAGGGCACGGTCTCATTTCTATTGCGGGAGACAATAACAGATGAGTGACCACTGGGCAGTCGAGGTCGGCCATAGCGTCTCGGGCCAGGCTTGTCCTCACCATCGGAGGGGGGCGGGGCTGTCCACTGATTGGTACTGCCCGGTGGTCAGTAGGTCGCCGTGTCTACGACTAACAATAGTAACAACCACCCCCTTTGTTACCTCGATGGCATTCATTCATGTGGTTCTCGTACACAAGATTTCTTCATTCTCAATAAAATCTCTAATGGCTATAGAAGAACCTGTTGTTGTTTTTTGTTTACTTATTTTTAATCTTTTTCAAAGTTCGTAAAACTCTTACTAAAACAAACGTTGTGGGTGGTTGGCGGGTGCTGTGGTGTGGTTTGCTCCTTCTTTCCTATCAAACATCTATCATCCTTATCTCTCCTCCTTTTTTGTATGAGTATGATCTTATGCTGTTGCGAGAGCCGTAAAACACTTCAAAAAGAAAAACAAACAAACTGACCAAGTGGGTGGATGGAGGATTAAACTTAAGTAACTCAATTTAGTCTCCACCGTGCTACTGGAGACCGCCCAGGGGGTTGGAGGGCGCCACTGGTAGCAGGTCCTGCTTCTTTACTTTCCCTCTCTGGTTGTTGCTCTCCGTCTGTTAAGTGTCTTACTTCCTCCCGGCACTAAGTGACCATTATTTTGTCAATGTGCTTCCCTTCACTCGAACTCAAATTGGGTGCTCTCGTGACCTAGAGGTTAAGGTATTGGCCTCTCAGTCACAGGTCCCGGGTTCGAATCCGGATAGGGACCGAAAGATTTTCTTCTCTAAAATTGTCTACTTTCTCCTTCTTTCCTTATCTCTTGCAATATTCTGTAGTCTGCTTTCGTCTTCTCTTTCTGCCCCACCCCCTCACCCCCTCCTTTTGGCTCCTGACTCTTTCTGCCGCCTTTCTATTGCTACTCCTTGGCTCCTTCTTACTGCTGTCTTTCAGTCACACCCCTGATCTTCTGGTAAAAAAGATCTAAACCTAGCCTTCTCGGACAATGGGGAAAAATCTCGGAGGGCCTGTGTGCAAGTTGCGCACGTTAAAGATCCCTTGGTGGTCTAAAATCGATAAGAGTAGGCTTCGGCGCCACCCGGGCAAAAGTTAAAATTTCCTGCCAACTGAAAAAGTTTAAAGTGTCCGCGCGCTCATGCAGAACTTGCGAGTGCCGTAAAACGCTTACGATTAAACAAAAACTTTTCCCCAGCATTAAATGGTCATATTTATTGTGTCGGTGAGATGCTTGCTGAAGGAGATGGGCTGGCTGGTCTCAGTGGTAAAATTAGCGAGGAAATGACCCCCAAGCTTTGATAACTTCAATTATAGCTTGAGAGTGCTTGAAAACTGAAAAAGTGACACATTTTGTGGCTTTAATGAACGTTTTTCAGTAAAAATTCACACGGGAATGTCTTTATGGATACAGGGTGTTGAGTCAAAAAAATAAAAATTCTGTAAAAAAAATGCCAAACTGGCAGAAAAATGCATGTTTTCTATTTCATTATTTTGACGAGCGCCTGATTTCACCACGATGCCTCACAAATGTCTTACTTTTCCAGCACTAAATGACCATTATTGTGTCAATTTTAATGTGCTTCTATTTACTCAAACAAACCAACAAATAAACAGGACAGTGAAATCCAAAGCCCAGCCTCTAAATAGTAACCCTGTAATTTATTATTTATGCCTCCATCATCAACATAATTTAGATCATTTAGGAGGAAAAATTATAGCAAAGACACAGAATGTGGGTAGATCCAGTTGGCGGGTGCTCCGGTGTGGCTGGCTTCTTCTTTCCTGTCAAACATCCTCCTGATCTCTCCTCCTTTTTTTTAACGTTTGTTGCTTTAAAAACACCTCTGATCTTCAGCACTTATACAAAGAGAAATCATATTTTTATATTAACTTACAAGACCTTATTGTGTTGCAAGTGGAGCAAAATTATTTCTTTAAAAAATCAAAACAACAACAACAAAAAGACACAGATGAGTTCGAACCCAGATACGAAACCCTCATTAACATGTATCATGTATACTCGACTGCCATTTTGGGGGCTCTCGTGGCCGAGAGGTCAAGGTGTTCGCCTCTCATTCAAATGTCCCGGCGTCGAATCCGGATAGGGACGGAAATTTTTCTTCTCTAATCTAAAAAAATTGTCTCCTGTCACCCCCTTTCCTGCTCTTTAACAATGTTCCGTCGTCTGCTTTCGTCTCCACGTTCTGCCCCCACCCTCCTTTCACCTCCTTTGCCCCTTCCTCAGGGCTCCTGACTCTTTCTACAGCCTTTCTACTGCTAGTCTTACTGCTTTCTTTCAGCCACACCCCTGATCTTCCGGTAAGAAAGATCTACACCTAGCCTTCTAGGACAATGGCGAAAAATCTCGGAGGTCCCGTGTGCAAGTTGCGAATGTTAAAGTTGATA